ACTCCCAGACATCAAGCTACTCCGCCTGGTTCTGACATCTACTCAGGGGCCTCCTTTTGATCTCCTCTCTCCAAGGTGCTCTCCAAGCCTGACATTCCCGGTAATTCGATTAAGGAACAGGCTGAGGATATGCTTAGGTGACGAAGATTAGGCGACTTGTAATCATCGTCATCCTTATCCTTCCTTCGCTTTGTGAGCGAGAGAGAGAGAGAGAGAGAGAGAGAGAGAGAGAGAGAGAGAGAGAGAGAGAGAGAGAGAGAGAGAGAGAGAGAGATGTAGAGAGAGAGATACTGGAGAAAGAGAGAGAGGGGGGGGTGGAGGGGGAGAAAGAGAGAGAGAGAGAGAGAGAGAGAGAGAGAGAGAGAGAGAGAGAGAGAGAGAGAGAGAGAGCGAGAGCGAGAGACAGACAGAGAGAGCGTAGAGAGAGGGAGAATGGAGAGAGAGAGAGAGAGAGAGAGAGAGAGAGAGAGAGCGAGAGACAGACAGAGAGAGAGAGAGAGAGAGAGATAGAGAGAGAGAGAGGAGAGAGAGAGAGAGAGAGAGAGAGGGAGAGAGAGAGAGAGAGAGAGAGAGAGAGAGAGAGAGAGAGAGAGAGAGGGAGAGAGAGAGAGAGAGAAAGACAGAGAACACAAACAATCATAAGATCCTCCCGTAAACAACGACAACAACAACAACAACATAATAGTAATAATAATAATAATTATAATAATGATAATGATAATAATAATAATAATAATAGTAATAATAATAATAATAAGATAGCGGCATTCAGGCAAGAAGACCAGATGTTATAGTAATTCAAAAGGAAAAGAAAGAGGCTCTGATAGTTGACATTGTTGTACCTGCGGATACGTGGATTGCAGAAAAAGAGTTAGAGAAGATAGAAAAGTACCACGATCTGAAAATGGAAATAAAAAGCTTGTGGGAACTGCGATGTGCAAAAGTTATTCCAGTAGTGATTGGTGCCCTCGGAAGCGTTACAAAAGATCTTGAATGTTGGACTGAAAATATGGACATTGTGCCTGAGGTTGGAGTATTGCAGACGACTGCTTTATTGAGGACGGCAAGAATACTGAGGAAAGTGCTGGAACTTTAAAGGAGAAGGAAACCTGTTAGCCTTTAGTCATTTGTTGTGACTCGCCTAACAGGAAGAAAAACGGCAATAAGACCAGCCAGTGCAGAAATGCTTAAAATCCCATAATAACAATAATAATGATAATAATAACAACAACAATAATAATAACAATAATAACAATAACTACAATAGCAATAATAACAGAAAGGAAAAAAAGTATCCAACAATTTCTTACAGAATCCTCAGCGTGGGTATGCGCGTCAAAAGGTGATCAAACTCCCCGAAGAGGTTGCTGTCCAGGCCGAGTCTGCGGAGCGAGGTCAGGTCATGGAGGACCAAGGGGTCAAGGTCACGCAGAGTGTTGTTGGTGAGGAGCCTGATAGTGGGGGAGGGGGGGAAGGAGGAAGAAGTAAATACGTGATGGAGAGAGATGAAATTTATGATGATAAAGTGTGTAATAACGAAAATAAATATTATATTGATAATGGCGATATAATAGTATCATTACTACCTTCTAATGATAATAATGACAATGAAAATGATAATGACTACAATAATAAATTGTTTATTACAACAGTTGTAATAAACGCAGGGATAAGAAAAAACAAAACAATACCATTTATAAAAAGAAAACAGTAATTTATGTAAACAACAACAACAACAATAACATAACACTAAAACTTTCTTGAAATTTGCTTTAAACTATGTAAAAATAAACAAATAAATAAATAAATAGGTAAAACCATGCATTGTATTTCCAACAGAGAAATAAATAACGATTTTGATGTAGTTTCCCCGTCGTAGGCCTACATATCCTAGAAATCGAAGTGTGTGTCTAATTTACACTCCATAAGATGCCAATATGATGACATTAACCCATTGCCGCCGGGGATGGCATGTACGTATATGCCATGCCCACTTTGAGTCGACTTGTACGATTGTTTTTACACATAGATGGCTACACTTCTACTAAGTATCCAATGAGCCAATTCGAGTACCGCCTGTCTCCCCCGTTCACTCTTTTCATCGATTTACGAAAATATTTAACGTTATCCTAATTTGCTGTTAAAAATAACACCATCTATATTTATAGCACTAGTAAGAATACGTTTTTTCCCGCCAATTCAAGGAAAGGTGAAATCAGGACTAGCAGAGCCATCTATGGACAGAGATATTTCACAAAAATATAAAACATGAGTACAGTATTTTCCCCATTTTTTGTTCATTTTCCCCGGCGGCAATGGGATAATAATGATTCAGTATTATAACTACAATAATAATAATATATGTATGTATGTGGAAAGTAACATGTGAATTGATATACTTACAGCGTATCCAGGCCGGCCAAGCCCTCGAACGCTCGCGATGGAAGCCAGGAGATGCTGTTTCCTTGAAGCCCTCTGTTGGCGAGAGGAAAAGCTGTGATCCGTACTTGAGTTATCATCTGTTCTATCTCTGTCTCTCTCTGTCTCTGTCTCTGTCTCTGTTTCTGTCTGTCTGTCTGTCTCTCTCTCTCTCTCTCTCTTATTCTCATTCTCTCTCTCTCTCTCTCTCTCTCTCTCTCTCTCTCTCTCTCTCTCTCTCTCTCTCTCTCTCTCTCTCTCTCTCTCTCTCTCTTATTCTCTCATTCTC